GCGGACTCTACGTTGGGAAGCACTGCCGTACAGTAATTGCACACATTAGTAAGCAGTTTTTTTCTTATGTTTGGGAAAGCCTCAGCGATTTGCTGGAAATCCAACAGGGAGGCATAAAGGATTGAGTTAAACTGCTGGGTTGTGTTGAAAGCATGTGTGGTGGGCTGTGAAAGTGCCGTGTATCGGGCTAACCCTCTTACAGTATGCATGAGCGCCGCTTTCCATCGCTCTGCCTCGCCTGCAGCGCGGACTGCTGAGGCTTTGTTACAGCAGGTGGCTGTGTTTCAGCCATTATACCTTGTCCAGCACAGTTCCAATTCAATTCATTGTGTGGCATTTAACCAAACAAGATCACATTCTTAGATTATCTGTTTTTTCGTGCAAAACTTGAGTATGGGGTGGTTATTAGTATGAATACACTTAAGTTAACGGTATTTTTTTACATTTTAAATGTTGGCTTGTGACAACACACAGTGGACATATTTTATATATACTTCGTAAGTAAAAAATGGCAAAAGTGTCTCTCTGCTCAAATGGGCAATGGGAATTGCTCTTCTCCGTTGGAAAATCTAAAAACAGTGGTGAAAATTCTTCAATCCTTTGTCTGGATCTTCAGAACAACCACTCTTGGTGTTCGTACAGCTCATTATACGGCCTCATCAGGTGGAGCTCGTTTTACTGGCACTGGAGCAGCAACGAATTAGACAGGCCAGGACTTCCTGACATTGTAACTGTGCGGGTGAGAAAACATCACTCGGACTTTGGACATGTCCGCCAGGTGAATGATCTGACGCCGATGTATCTGGTTCATCGGTATGCTATTCGAATGAAGGAAGAAAGAACCTGCCACGTGTTCTTCCAAGCCACCACCTGTTTCCACCAGTTCAGCATTGACTGGCTCTGAGCCCTAAGTCACATGGAATGCTGCAAGATCGGTCATTGCGGAGGTCTTGACAACTAATTTCTGGCCATGCACATTAGTGGAAGTAATTGTACTGTCATAGAAGAAATAATGACGATGATGATGAAGCTAAGTTGTTCTGGGCCAGGAACTAAACTTGAAATATCAAAACAGAACTTCAGATCCACTGAGTTATAGCCTGGCTATGTTACATACAGAAGTGAAATATCATCGTCAGCCATGATCAATCCACTGCAGAATTAAGTCCTCTTCATGCCATTGCCATTTGTCGTGGTCCTGCAGTGTAACAATATACCTGGCACCTGTGTAGGAGCCAATTTCATCGCTTTATATTTGCGGTGGACACCAGTGACATGAATACTGTATAAGTAATTATATACACGATAAATCTATGTAGTCTCTAAGTAATGTATTGTCGTCCCGTGCTGTTTTCTTGCCAGACCTTGTACGGCATTAAGAGTGTAGTCGGGATGCCGGCTGGCCTCTCAGGCTGGGCTGGAGTGTCAGGAAGAAGCTGTTGAGTGTTCTGGAGCTTTTGAGTGACTCACAAGTGCCTTCAAGAATCAGTGTGGCGCTGCTGAGGACGATAATACTTTGGATTTTGACAAAAGCCGGTGCCGTACTTTTAGCATAACCAGTGGCAGAAGTGGTGAAACTTGAGGTTTACTTCATGAGACAAGCTTGCCAACCAGTTAACAATTAAATATCCACAGCTGCTTGGAAATTGGATACGCCAGAACGTATGTCTCATTAAGTCGCACAATGCTGTTCAGACTGTGACTGCGAAAAACTTTCAGTAGCAGCAGTGTGAGTTTCGGATGTAACATGAGAGAGGAGTGAAACCTGGCAGATGGTTCACGTGTCTCATTAGCTGTCTGTGCATATTCTGCCATCTGCACGTGACAACGTGGCTGCACTTTATGCACGTGCAGTGGGCTGCAAGTACATGTTTTAAAGCACGTGTATAAGATATGGCCCAGAGGCACTTACAGGTATATAAGAAGATGAAGTTTCTCCATAGCTGGGTACATGACAAGGATAATGTTAACATTACATTTGTATAAAGGGACTGAACCAGTATGGCCAAGGTCCTGGGTCCAAATAATGGGCCCCAACCTAAGATATGACCAAAGCTGTTGTTTCAACAAGTTTAATTGAGCCAGACCAATGCAATGTTTCCATCGCCACTTGCAAGTGAGCTGGTTGGCCCATAAAGTCCTGGGCCATGCCAGCCTGTCTCATTTCCTATCCCAATGCTCCACGAATCACTGAGTTTTGTGGACTCATCACCTACCACTCCGTCCACTCTGCTCCCTCCCCCTCCATACCCACTGTGGGCAGAGGGAGAAGGGTTACTTTTAAATATAATTTTACACACGCTTGGGTTCGGTAAGGCTACCCCCAAATATTTGTTTTGTAATTTTAAGGTGTGCTGCGCATGCTATCGTGCTGCATTATATCACACTGGACTTGCAATCAAGAGATCGCTAGTTCGATCTTCCGGCACAATTATGAGCATTTTGCCTAAGATCAAGTGTAGTGTCTGTTCTTATCAGTCTAATTACTGATATGTACCACATTGCGGTACCTTATTTCATGCCCTTTTCTTAAAAAAAATCCAGTTTCATTCCCTTCACCTTTTACGGATATCAGAAACAACATCCTTGAACAAATGTAGTGTTTCAAATGCTTGGGCTTACTGATTGATTAAAGCTTACATTGCATCCCAATATTGATCACATCTCAAAGAAAATCTAATAAAAAATAGGGTTTTTATACAGAAGCAAAATGTTTTCCCATTTTATTGTGCCTGCAAATTGTTGAAACTATCATTCTACCACTTTCTGACGAGTGTGACACTCCTCATGAATCACCAACCAGACTAAACCCGCCTTATCATTCTGCTCTTCAATTTGCACTGGATGCACCATACAGGACTCACCATTGTGACCTCTACTTAAAATCCAATCTCACGTCACTTGATGCAGTAAGAATAAATCTACAACTGGGCCCTGTTCATCCATAACATCCTAATTTGCAAATCTGAGCTATACTTAGCTAATTCATTAACCCCATTGTCGAACCCAATAAACCTAAGACGTCCATCTAATTGCCTTTTACCTATCCCAAGAACAAGAATAGGTGACAAAGCCTTTGCCATTGCAGCATCAACGTTTTGGAACAACCTTGTTTTCTCCCTTAATATCGTACGTTTTCCTTTAAAAAATATCCTGAAGCAGAAGATTAGTGCTGGATACAACTTCGTTTAAAATTTCATCCTTTCCCATGCATCGATAGTTACATTTTAATGTGCAATTTTATTGAAGGACTGTATGTGGGTCTTGGTGTGGTCTGGGACTGTTATTGATGTTGTTTTGCTGCCTTACCTGAGTGTGAGAATTAGTGTACTTATGCAATTTGAACATATACGTTTATCTCATTTGCGTATTATTTTTTAGTGATTTGCTTTCCTGCCCTATACTTTGCACTCCAATTGCTTTTTTGTAATGTTTGTTGTTGTAACTTTCTGACTTGCCCCTCCTGGACATCTGTGAAAAAGAGCTTCATAGCTCACCAGGTTTCTCCAGGATAAAGGAAGATTTTGATTGACACCAATGGCATTCGACCTCTTGACCTTATGTTCTTATATCCCTTGTTCATATTTCCTCATTTAGTAAACAATTGTGCAGTCCTGTAATACCCCACACATAATGGACAGGTTTTTTTTCGTAGCAATTTCGTACCGCATTGTGAAGAACACATAAACCTATTGAAAAATGTGGAAACCTGCAAAAGTGTCACTGATACTCACAATGGCATCTTTGTGTGCACACAAAAAGGTGCTGGAGCGTAGATATGGCATAAAATACGGGTCCTGTCTCGTTACAAGGGTTTTTGCTGCATTCAGCTTCTGTTGACATTTTTCCATGGCTTTTGTCCCACTGAAAGGTTTTTCAGCTTGTGTGACAGATTTACTCTCTGCACCGATGACCAACAAAAATACACTTGCACACATCTTTGATTGAGCCAAGCATTACGTACACAAATTTGTATAACAGTTTTTCACATTCAGCCACAATGAGTGTCAAAACTTTTTTTCAAGAAGATTTCCACGTGGGATGTTTAATATATTTTGTCTATGTTTGCATGTGTGACCAAATGACAGTATCTTCAGAAAAGCCATGAATAACCAATTTTTATTGAGAAATATTGATTACATTTAGGTTAGCTCTTAATCCGTGGATTTGATCGAGATATTTTTTGAGCTAATCTATGAAAGCAGTCAAATATATAGTCAACTCTTAGTGATGAAATAATGTTCCTGTGAGCGGCGTGCAATTGCTGCCCTTCAACATGATCAAGTCAGCCAATTAGTGAATTCGGTAACTTACTCTTTGGTCTATTGGGTAAAGTCACGTAGGTGAAAATAAAATAACAAAAAATCACGACGTTCCGGCCACAACACAAGCGGCCTTTATCAGGTGAAGGGACGAGACTGTCTGGAGGACAGCGCAAGAGTATGGATCCTAGCAGTCACGAAAGCTTTAAATCTAGAATTCGGTAACTATTCAAATATAAATATGCTAGATTTACTACCCGGCTTCGCCAGGGACTTGGATTCACCACTTTGTCCCCCCGGTGGCGATGTTCACACAGCACACCAGTTACTCGTTTGAGGCTGAGTTAAAATATTCGTCACCGGTGGTGGCCGTGAGCGAGAATCGAACTCGGGTCGCCGGGTTCGTAGCGCAGCGCGGTAACCACTACACCACCGCTCCCCACACACACACATGCACGCGCGTGTCCATAGGTACACATACACGCGCTTGCTGCAGACACACACAACTTTCAGGGTGCGTACGGCAGTAAACGACTGAAATAATAAAGCAATGCTGCGCGAAGAACGCCTTAGACCTGCAACACATTTGTACGGAGGGTTTGGGGGAGGGGGGATGCGTGACGTCAGCAGGTACACTGCTGTGACGCTTCCGCATGCGCGGGTGACATGACAGATGTGACGTCACAGCTCACTTGCCGTGCAAAATATTTGCATTATTGCGCCCCCCCCCCCACCTCCAAAAAAAACCAAAAGTATATTTTTACAATTTTTGCATGGTGTACAGTCTGGAAAGTACCCAGATGGCAAATTTAAAATTTTTTGCATGTCGGGAAGTATGCTAAACATTTTGAACAGATACACATAATCACAAATTTCCCTTTTATATATATCCACTTGTGATTTTTGGTCTACCTCAATGCACTGTAGTTAATGCACTGCAGTTACTAGATTATCTTAGTTTGCATCTTTATTGAGGGTGGTTGATTTCACCTCGTCATGGTCAGCCCCGCTTGGTCTTTGGTGGGTAGTTGTTGTTGTCTTCATGCTTGATGACTTGTAGCCACTCTAAGTCAACGCTGACGAAAAGAACACTTCCATTGTCAATGATTTTGTTCGCAAGGTTTACTAACAAGTTTAACACTGGTGAGAACACACTCATAGTGGTGTTTACACAGTATCATAAAAGTGTTTGTTGCATTTATTTTAAATTCTCGTGGGTGTCAACTGTCCATAAAAGATGCAGTGTACACGAACTTAACTGCTGAGAATTTCATCAAGTGGATAGTGTGTGGAGAGGCTCTTGATTTGTTAGAGCAGCCGAGTGTGGTGTGTATATATTCATGCGTTTGTCATGTGGGAGTATAGTTTATTGTTTATGCAAACAAGTGATATTCACGTGGGGTTTTTAGTGTACGTGGCCAACTAGGTACAGAGCACAATTGTACACCTATGGTTGAGAGGTGTAGTTGTTTATACATTTTACTAGTCCTTTAACATTAAAGCAAGTTCTATTTTTGGCAAACACACATTACCAGAGGCATTGGCATCAACCTCGTCTTGTATTATTCAGCTTGAACCGAGTACCGATTGTCTTTCGTGTGTCAGCATTACCACTGACCATGACCTCACCATCCTTTTGTGTTTTGCTATGCTTTCAATCAGTTCTGACTCGCATTACAAGCCCTAATGGACTATCCAGAATATCTTCTCAAAATTGGGAGTGCTGGTGCAAGACTTCAGCATACTGCACATCAATCAACCATTTCTATGTGAACCATCCGGATCTGAATTTGGCCCTAAATTGCCACGGGATGTCTCTGCCTACAATAAGTGTAATGCCTGATGAGCTGTATTTGAAAGATAACCGAGTCTGGCACGGTGCTAGTCTGCACCACCCCTTGTATAATGGTACAGCACAATAGTGGGCACTCGACAACCTTGTATCCACATCACTCCAGATGGTTATCTTTTGTCTTTGAGTTTCAATGCAGCAGTCAGTTTGTGAGCGTGCGGGCCTGTGATGCTATAGTGTAGTGGATAGCGAGCTGCACAACGAACCTTAACGGCTTGAGTTCGATTTCCACTCATCAACCAATATCAGCGGTGAATATCTGAGAATATATTTTTGTCCTACCCTAGGTTGACTCAGCCTTAAATGAATAGCTGGCACCATGTGGAAACATCAGTTCTGTGGAGACGCAGGCTTCCTGTTGTAGTGCGCCATACCAGCCTTCATATGTGCTTGCGATCAACATTAGCCTCAGCGGCTTGTTAAGGCTATTTGTGGATATATTTTTTTATTTGTCTTTGTGGAGCTCAGTTAGTGGATGATATATAACAACAACAAAAAGTGGAGCGGAGTGTTAGCTGCTGAACTGGAGTTATGAGTGCTTCTCTCGTGGCCACTCAGCAGCAGGTGTCGAGGTCACACTTGACGTCGCCGACGCCAAACCCGCAACACGTTTATCTCTGACTGACCTCTGTTGGTGTGGGGCCCTTGACAAAGTAAGCTTCTTGTAAAACATTACATTGTAAAACTGTGTAGACCGTCAACGTGGAGTAACTCATGCAGCCAGCTATGGCTCTAGGATTTGGTGTTACATGTTATTTATGTAGTTTATTGTAAAAATTCGGTCACAGTCCCTGTGATCGCTGTTACGTTGCAATTATGGCTTTATTTTTTTGGTAATTTCGAAAACGTTTTTTTTGTTTGGACATGTTTGTTTTATTGTAGTACGGAGTTAGACTGATGGCCTTAATCTAAGTTTTCTTGTGGTTGTTGTTGTTGTTTGATTTGCATCCCACTGGGATTTTTTGCACACAGCGTTGGTGTACGGTGCTTATTTCAGGAATATTTTGCTATTTTTTTCATGGATTTTCTGTTTGCACAGTCACACATAGTCAATTTAAGATGTTTTTCTTGTTCGTGTTTTTGTTTTTTTTGTTTGTTGTGGTTGCACCCGATTCAAGAGCCGAATGGCTCACAGGGCTATACCAAAATAAATAAACTGAATTTTTTTTTAAACGTACGTCCCGAATGGTTGTATACAGTCGTACCATGTGAAGGTCGTGGAACATTGCTTCTGCACTGGGACTCCAATGAAAAAAGCCGTGGGCCACATGCCTCGGAAAGCGTGCAAGGTAAGGCACATCGTATAAGGCAAGGCAGATGTAAGGAATGTCTCTAGATAGTGTATGTGTGCCTGCATCAGGGGAGAATGCAGAGGGACATTATCATAGGCAACTGTTTTAAATGGAGTCATTGAAATAGTGACACATCCCAATGAATGAAATTGAAATGTATTTATGGTCATATGAGTTTGCATTGTGATGCAGTATCTTATGTAAATAGTGTGCAACGCAAAAGTACATGAATGGATGTTACATTCAGCGAACAATTAATGATAGTATTCTGCCGAAAACAAACAAACAAAAAGTAGACATTTGGTATAAGGTACTCATTCTATAACATCGTGGCAGTTTATCTCCTTGATGTTTTATTTAGGGTTTTCTTTTAAAAGAGATGCTTTATTTCAATGTGGATTCACCTACTCTAAACCTACTTCCATACCTGTCTTCTTACCAACTTGTCTACTTAGAGGGATTATTATTTGTACCGCATGTGTCGACATAATAAAAGTATTCTGTGCTGTGTAAAAGTATTACGGTAATTATAATATTATAATTTTTAGATTCTGTGTGAAAGCTGTAGTTATTCAGTGGAAGAGCAATATTAGCTGGACATATATTGATGCTGTTGGAAATCAAATGTATAACTTGCATTCATATGAGGCTGTAAACAACTCTGCATATTTATATCAAATGTATTTTAAATAGTTTTCTCTGAGTTAGAGTTTGTAAAAAAAAATGCTCCACCTTTATGAATGGCTTTTGATAAGGTGTGTGTCTTTATGATAGCTTTTGTGCCAGCATCAATTTCCACTTAATTAAATGCCCTTTCATAGTCAGGAAAATCGTGGCATAATGGTATGTAATATTTTTTTATTTTTTAGAACATGATTGAAGAATGGTAGATAATATCTTTTAAAATCAGTGGCCTATACATTTACTATTATTTGATTCTAAGGGATGCGATTGTGATGAGAGGGTACATGATCTAAAGTAATCATAGTAAACGGTACATTTATAATCATACTATATGAGAGAAAAAAAAGCCTGGCTGGCCAGATTGCTGACCGGCCAGTCACATACAAAGGACGTGTGCACTGCTCGTGATAATAAAAAATATTTGATATATATAAAAAAATGTAAACCTTCAAATCACTATTGTCTACATTTTTCAAAGAATAATAGGGCATCCTGCCACAACTGAGATTTCATTTCTGTATAAACATTTCTTAAATAGATCTGCTGATTTTTATCCAAGAACCGGTCCAACTTTTTTGAAAAGTGATAACTGAATGTTGCATGAAAGAAAACAAACATACTGCATTGATACCATAGAACATATATCCTGTTCTGTCACAGAGCTGATATCTAAGCATCGGCCTCTTCAGTTGTTTGAGAATGTGTGGATTGGAATCGGAGGTGTAAAACTCCAACAAGAGGAAGATCGTTCTGTTATTTTCCAATATAAACTAGTGCTTATATTTATTACATACGCTGCATTTTGACATGGATATCAGGAGCTAGCGTAACCTGGATTGGGTGTATCATTCGAGCTGTCATCTAATAACATCTGTACGAATTCATGGTTGATAAGTCTGATGTAGTCATTCATGTAAGTAGGCTCAGCAACTTCACGGTGTTCATTATCACGAGGATGACCTTTAAGGGTGATTATGGTCATGTTTTTTTTATCGAATATTGTTTCGGTGGTTAAAGTGATTTGTGTATTGTTTATGAAGCGAAAAATAATTGGAGGGCATTTCCACGGACGAACTCAGAACCAATGCCGCTCAATTCTGTAGATCTACATTTATTTTTATTACCAGAAGCCACCACTGGTAGGCGCCGTTGCCACTCGGTAATTCTTTTCCCCTCCCAAGGTGTAATCCTGTAGCTGCTCTCTCGCTGGTTTCAGCAGTTCTACTGCTGGATTACATTTTTTCCGCCTGAGGACGACCACTTGTGTTGCGACCGAAACGTCGTGAATTATTTTATTTTATACCTACGTGACTTTACCGAAAGAACCAAAGTATAATCCTGTACTTTAGAAATTGTTTCCACATTTGTGCAATAATTAATAGTTGAATTTACTAAAACATGGACAATCCATAACATATTTAACATATTTTTTATTTTCACATTATAGTAATTTGCGCATTTTAGTACAGCATTTACCTGTTGCAGTGCTTCAATTATTCTTTTGGTTTCACGGTCCAAGTGGGCTTGAGACCATGGCATATGTTGGGGGAATAAGGGGTGGCAACATTGTCTCGAGGGCAATGTTCTTCATTGCAAGGCCGCGGGTCACGGGCAGCCCCTAGCGGCCTTTAGTGCGACCCCTGACAATACACAACATGTGAAAACACCTCCCATCGTTGTGCTGTCAAACCCGAATGGTTTCAAATGGTGCGGCGGTTTTCACACTGATGATGTCTTATCGGCGAAAGTGGCCCCCCTCTTAAAATGAGTGAAGAACACTTGGTCCAGGATCACTCAAACTGCACGGAGCAAAGTGGCGATACAGATCTTTTCGGATGAAAATATGATTGTACTTCATCATGTGATTGTACTTTATCATGTGGTTGTAATCTGATTGTACTTCGTCATGCTCAGTAATACATGTGACAAGCATAGCACCTGGATTCGTTACGTTGCAGTACTTTGGGGTGGGCGGTAAGAATGGAAATTCAGTACAGTGATTTGAGAAATATAAATTCTTCCTTCATTTTGTATACACATTGGGGGCCGTCCATAAATGACGTCACGCACCTGGGGGGCGGGGGGGGTCAGACATTTGTGACGATGTGTGACGAGGGGGGGGGGGTGAGAAATGTGACGTCACATCAAAATGCGCAACTTTAAATAAATATAGACAACACGTCCTACTTAATTAAATAGACTTTTTAATAAATGGTTTCTCCTACAACATCAGAGTGCAGCGGCACATTAAATACGCACTGCAATGACAATAGTTTAAAGCGATTTGAAGCGTGTTTATTATTTTGGGGGGGGGGGGGCAGAGCTTTGTGACGTCATATTTGAGGGGGGGTCTGACTTTTTGTGACGCCGTGTGACGAGCGGAGGGGGGGGGGGCGTTCAACAAAATTGCGTGACGTCATTTATGGACGGCCCCTTGTTTAATTTAACCACATCAATGGCATATTTGTGTTGCAGTATATCTTTGTGGTATTGCTTTACTGCAATGTTCATTGAATTCTTATCGTGTGGTTGCACGCATGCCTGCTGCTGCTGCTTTTAGATTATATTGTGTTTCGCTGGACACGCTCTACGGAATAGAGTTATAAACATAGGGTATCTCAGGGGTAGCAAACACATCACACACCTCAGTAATTAACGCAATCGGGTGTCCCCATCTTGAGAGGCCACTTTTGTTTTCGTGTTTGTTAGCAGGATGCAGTGGTTAGGGGCCGTCCATAAATGACGTCACGCGATTTTGGACGATTTTGACCCTCCCCCCCCCTTCGTTACAGGCGTCACAAAAAGTCAGACCCACATCAAATATGACGTCACAAAGCTCTGCCCCCCCCCCGCCCAAAACCATAAAACATGCTTCAAATCGCTTTAAACTATTGTCATTGCAGTGCGTATTTAATGTGCCGCTGCACTCTGATGTTGTAGGAGAACATTTGATAAAAAAAGTATATTTAATTAAGTAGCACGTGTTGTCTATATTTATTTAAAGCTGTGCATTTTGATGTGACGTCACATTTCTCAAACTCCCCCTCGTCACACATCGTCACAAATGTCTGACCCCTCCCTAGGTGCGTGACGTCATTTATGGACGGCCCCTTAGTAGGCTGCACTTTGAACCCGGTGGCCTGTTTTTATTTCCTGGTCACAGCTGACATCAATGGCGAGTGGCATCCAAACTGGTTCTGGTCACCCCTCCCCCCTCTATTCAACAACCCATACTGGCCAGATTGTCGCATTTACTGGTGAAGTATGGTCAAACAACTTCCATGCTTGACATCAAAATTGTTATTTCAAAGAGACTTCCCTAACTACATATTTACACCACATTACATTTTTGTTTATTGTAATCCACGGAACTTGTGCGATTGATTCGTTACAAGCATTCTTATCTCATCAACATTCTTCTATTTTCCCCTGCTGCTATCACAGTTATTGCTCTGATAAACCATACGCCTTGAGTCTCCAGATTACTATAATGCTTTTTTACATATTTGGTCAACTTCACTCTGTCTCGCTTAAGAAGGACAGAACATTGTTTTCCCACCTACCTTTCCTCGTACGGCTCTCCTTTGGAGCTCCGTCTGTTTTTTTCAGGCTCGTATAACCACACCTAATTTTAACAAATATGTTAACTCTCACCTACCATACTCACTCTTACATACCTTGTTGCTGCTAGCCGCTTTTTTAAGTGCCCATGGGAACAGTTTTGCAGGAATTCATGTTTTTGTAAAAGATGAGAAATTACTATCATGGTGCCATCTCATGTGACGTGGACTCGAATGAACATCTCATAATTTGTGCCAAGGTCAATTGCCAAACCTTAATACTGGTATATATCCACAACAATCATTACAATTTTAGTGAATACAATTGTCTGATAGATGCCCGACTCGATCAAGTAATATTGGTCGAGTTGGGCTGCATTTTTTTAGGCATGCACTTGTCCTACTGAACACAACCTTCCTGTCTCTATTAACCAGCCATATTTCACCATGCTGGTCAGTGTGGGTGGTGAAGATGGGGGTAGTGCATAACAATTATTTATTTTTCTGCACTGCTGACAACTGCCCACACAATGCCTCCCATATCTGTTTTAAGCATGGTAGTCACCCATCCAAGCATTATCCAGCTTCAAGTAACTTCCAAGGTCCGACAGGATCGAGTGCAATCCAATGGTGGAGCCAGGATTTTTAGGTAGGGGGGGCAACCCCTCCAGCAATGAAAAATGATAGGAGTTGTTTGTAAGGACTTGTCCCTTGCTTTTTATTCAGCGCGTGTGGGGTCGAATTCGAACTGTG